ATAAGATGATAAGTAAATATCTGGAAAGTGGGGTGGTAGTTAGGCCAGATCGTGGACCAGAACCTACCCGATAACTGCGGAGGAGATATAATCAAAAGAAACCGGCTCCTTGCTTGTAAAAGCTACCGTTCCAATGATTAAACCTAGGAGAGTAAATTATAACATTTTACCTAAAATCATATGTTTATATGGTCATTTATATGAATCATATGACAATGTTACCAACCTATAAAGTATAATTGATACCGATCACTGGGTCCCCAAATTTTAATATGAATTCTGGTAAGGTAACCTGTTGGAAGATGTCAGAAATCAGGATTGAATTAAGTGTAGCATAATTTAATACATTTTAATTTGTATTTTTTTTTTTTTTTTTGTATTTATTTTGGTGCTATATCATTATTGACCTGTAGGGGGCGAGATTCCACCTAAGAAGTGGATGCAGGATCTTGTATAATTAGTGAGAAATGCACGAATTTGAGTCGAATGTGATGATAGTATATAATGACTATTTTGTATAGTAGAAATCCTAAGTATCTAGCCGAATGTAGCGTTCGTATGAAATTTAAAACATGAATTACATAGCTTAGCGGCGAAGTGTATTTAGGCGAAAATAACCGAATGCGTTTGAATGCGAATGGGGCTCCGCCGTGTAAGCCGTAAATGTGAAGCGGTTTGCTTTACGGCGGGCCCACTTACGGTTTTTTGGCGGCAGCAGTACCGGGGAAGCTGTGCAGTCGGCGGTGACGGCGGGAAAAGCGCCCTGGAGAGCCCGGAACCACTCAGGAGGGCACCGGACCAGGAGACCACGAGGAAACAGGTAAGAGGAATCCAAAATGGCGGTCTGAACCGGAAGTAACGTTTCAGACTCGCCAGACCATTACGGTAATGTGGGAGTGGATTGGCAGCCCTTTTAAAGGGAAACCAAGCCCCTCCCACAACTACAGGCCAAGCCTTTTAATATATATATATATATATATATATATATATATATATTTGGACGTATTGTATGTGTGCGGGGCGCAGTGTGTGTGTGTAAGAGGGATGCTGTGTGTGAAGGTGTTTTTATCTGCCGTCACATTCTAGGTTTCTAAAAAATTTTGTCTGTTAACTCACTGAGGGTTATTTTATTTATTATATATATATATATGTGTGTGTGTGTGTGTATGCTGCATATGTGTGGGAGTGTGCTGTGTGTGGGTGCTGTCTATCTGAGTGAGCAGTGTGTGTCTGAGTGTTTGAGGGTGCTGTGTGTGCCTGGGGGTGCTGTGTGTGCCTGGGGGTGCTGTGTGTGTCTGGGTGCGCTGCGTGTGTCTGGGTGCGCTGCGTGTGTTTGTGTGCTGTGTGTGTTTGGGTGCTGTGGGTGTCTGGGGGTGCACTGTGTGTCTGGGTGCGCTTTGTGCCTGGGTGCTGGGTGTGTCTGGGTGTGCTGTGTGTGTGTCTGGGTGTGCTGTGTGTGTCTGGGTGCGCTGTGTGTGTCTGGGTGCTGTGTGTGTCTGAGTGCTGTGTGTGAGTGTGTGTGTGTTTATTTAAATTTAAATATATTCTTTTTATATATAAAATTTAAAAAGTTATATCCCCTTCTCCCTTCTTACCTTGGGAGGGGGTGGGGGGAGCCTGGTTTCCATGGAGGGGAGGAGCCATACTGCCATGGAGTGGAGCTGTGCTGCCTTCCCTGGTGGTCCAGTGGTGAGAGTGAACTCTAGCCTGCAGGCTAGAGTTCACTCTCGCGAGAGCTGAGCGTTGCCGCGGTAACGCTCAGAATCCCGCGAGAGGACCCGGCGGAGCTGCTGGTTAGAGCTCTGCCGGTCCTCTCTCCTGCCTCCCTCCCTCCTCAGACTGCGGCCGCATCTCCCTGTCTGTGTGCCGGTGAGGGAGATCTTTGATCTCCCCACCGGCCCATGGAGGCACACAGCAGGGCCGGCGCTCGGATAGCGCTGGCCCTGCAGGGGCCGGCCGGGGAGATCCCCTGTCGGCCTCGGCCTCGGCCCCACGGCCATCGCGGCCCACCGGGCATTTGCCCGGTATGCCCGATGGCCAGTCCGGGCCTGGCTGCAACCCTATAAAAGACAATAAAAATGGAAAATAGGTCGCGCCACAATAAACCGTGAAAAATAATATAAATTGCAGTAATCAAGAAAATAGATCGCGCTACAAATAACTGTAATGTAATATGAACTGCGATAATGTACTTACATATATATTAAACAGAGCAAGGAAATATATATAGTATGGACAGGAAGAAGACCAGGTAGGTTTGCAGGCACTGGAGTTTGCTGTGGATCTGAGTGAGTTGTTGGTCTTGGAATAGTCTAGTTTTCTCGGTGCAGGTTTAAATATGTGAACACAAAAAAGAAACTCCAATAGTGCAGATGGCAAATGACCAGAAAAAAGAAGATTTCACAATAGGCTGGAATATGCACTCACCTATTTGGGAGCTAGGACTAGCTCGGGTATCACTGGCATTCAGTGGCGTCGATCCCCCACTGGTAAGATATAGGTGTTGATAGTCAGAAGAGGTCCTCGGTATTTGGAAGAAATAAAATCAAATATAGTGCTCACTGTATTTCTTATAAAACAGGTTAGAATAAAAAATTAAGTACTCACATTTGAGTGAGCAGGAATATACTGCTCACTGTACTAGCGTGGGTGGTACAATCCCCACCTGGGATTCTTGGGTGGGTAACTGCTCCGAAGTAGCCGATGACCAGGTTAAAATAAATACAAGATGAAATAAAATAATACTAAAAAATATATGTATAAATGGTAAATAAAAAATGTAAATGGCACAAATAGGTTAGGTTAGATATTCCTTTATTAATACACATAAAAGTAGATTAAGAACAGCCAAAACGCGTTTCACCACACAGGGCTCTATCAACTGGCAATAAAACCCACCCACGCTAGTACAGTGAGCAGTATATTCCTGCTCATTCAAATGTGAGTACTTTATTTTTTATTCTAACCTGTTTTTCATCTAAAATAGCATCTGATAGACCGTTAAGGAACACATCAATGAAAGCTTGATTGTTCCAAGCAACTTCAGAAGCTAGAGATCTAAACTTAAGGGCATATTCCACCAAAGTTCTGGTTCCTTGCTTAAGAGACCTGGCTGCTTTGGCCTTCCTACCGGGTGGGTCAAACGTACGCCAAAATGCTTCAACAAACACAGCATAGTTATAAACCAGTGGATTATCATTTTCCCAGAAGGGATTGGCCCATGTCAATGCTCTCTCCACCAAAACAGTTATAATGAAACCTACTTTAGCTATATCTGTAGGATATGAACGAAGCTGGAGCTCAAAGTGAATACTGATTTGATTTAAAAAAACAAAACACAAGCAGCTTCAGATGCCCCACCATAACGTTAAGAAGGTTTGACATGTGCCCCAACAGTAGCTACCTCAAGTCCCACATTGTGTGGAGTAACTGAGGGTGTACGGCCTTCATCTTATCCGGGATTAGACCGGTTTATCAAGGTCTGTAAGACAATAGCTATCTGATCCATGCAATGATCCATTTCCTCGAGACGAATATCGTATGGACCAGCCTGGGTACTTACACCTGCCAGATCCATATGGCAATGTTGTAATGTTAGGAATAACAGGAGATCCTACACGCAGAGTGTAACAGAATAGTAACGTAAGCCACAGACCTATATGGATCTCCACAGCTACCGCCCACCATGTCCATACTAATCTCAGCCACAAGTGCCTGCTTCTACACATGCCTCATTACTACCCGTACCCCTCTGGGGTCAGGGCCGGGGGTCACCAGAAAGCATCCTCTAATATGGCAACATTGTTTTCTTGCTGGTTTTAAATGTCTTAACTGTTTTATCTCTTTCTGTATCAAACATGTAATGATGTGTGTGTATAGAACGACTAACTGTAAAGCTCCTAGACCACCCCCCACTAACATACTCTCCCAACCAACTGAGGATACATATTATACAGGCCACATCTGAGGCAAACTGACAATCCATGCTCTACATTGGTCACACAGGGCCCAGGGCAAGATCCACATGACCACACGCTTACCCCACCCCACCCCCTCATGGAGTGCCACAATCCACGCATATATAAGTTCCAACCTCGTAACACTGCCCATCCCGAAAACTTATTTTCACACAATTGGATTTGCACTCGAATAAAGAACCCTAACACACCTCCAATCCCCATTAACACTAGGCAACACTACACAGCCTCTCTGGGCTGTGTCCTGCTAACATCACTGAGGCGGGTCGGTAAGACCCAACCAGGGTGACATTTTAACTTTCCAAGTGGACACCCCACCTGCACCTGCAAGGATACCCCCTGCAGTCTACACCCCTGCTGTATACCCACAGTAACTGTAGACAGCATTTTTTACTGTACATAGTTAACAAGTTTAACCCACACCCATCCCCCTCGCCCCCTACCCGCGAGATTGGGAAGACCAGAGTGGGACCAATATACCGCCGAAATACCACATGGCTTCCCTATGAATCATAACACTCAATGTCAAAGGTCTGAACTCTCCCAAAAAGTGATCCCTGACACTCACTGAAATCCACAAACTAAAGGATGACATTGCATTCCTACAGGACACATTTTAAAAAGAACGCAGGTCCAACCCTCAGAAATTGACACTTCCCAACCGGATACTTTAGCAACTTCACAGACTCCAAAGCACGAGGTGTCACGATTTTATTCTCAGCCTGTGTACCCTTTACATACTCAGCACACAAGTCAGACAACACAGGAAGATTGTTCCTGGTCAAAGGACAAATAGGACAGACAACAGTCACACTAGCAAATACATATCTCCCCAACAAGCACCATGCCAAACACTACGCAAACATCTCAAAGTTATTGAACAGTTATTGAGGGCATACTAATCTTTGGAGGAGATTTCAATCTATCCCTAGACTCAGCCATAGACACGACATCAAGCACAAAGCCCTATCAGGCATCCGCCCGGAGACAACTCAAGAGTATGATGGACCAGGCCCAGCTATACGACTGCTGGCGCACTACTCACCCATATGACAGGGATTACTCCTTCTCACCAGCCACGCAAACCTACTCCAGGCTAGACATGTTCTTCCTACTGCACAGATTCCTCCACCTGGTACAATACATTGTTTATGGCCCGATTACATGGTTAGACCACGGACCCCTGGCTCTTGCCGTACAAATCCCTACACTCCCGCAGAGATCATTTCAATGGAAACTCAATGACCTACTGCTCAACGACTCCAACATAGTCGACAAACTACAAACATCCCTTCAACACTACTTTGCTGAAAATACAACCCCTTCCGCGCCCCCACCCCTAGTATGGGAGGCACAAAATTGTGTACTCAGAGGTGAAATAATAGCCACAGCATCACGACACAAAAAAAAAAAACAGAGAAGCTCAAGTCCAATTCCTCACGACTGAAATCAGAGACCTTGAGAATTTGCACAAACAAGACACCAGGCTGAGCACATACACGACTCTTACGGCTAAGCGCTCGGCTTTGCGAGACTTACTAAACATCAAAGTCAAACACACCCTCTTGCACATCAAACACACCTACTACTCCCAGGGAGGCAAAAGCAGCGGCCTACTGGCAAATGCCTTAAAACGTCAGCGTCAATCGACCTTCATACCTAAAATCAAAACACCGCAAGGAAACATATTGTCATCCTTCCAATTCTTCTACACGGAGCTCTACAACCTTTGGCCTGCCCCTCCATCCGAACATGACATTGACACATTCCTCTCCTCCCGAATTCACCAAACTATTCCCACGACCATTCTCCCAACCCTCGAAGCCCTAATCACCCCAGACGAAGTGTATGCAGTGATAAGTAGTCTCCAACTAGGCAAAAGTCCCGGCCCTGATGGCTTTACAGCCAAATACTATAAGATGTTCGCTAACATCCTGACAGAACCTTTTACACAAGCCTTTAATTAGCTTACCTAAACTGCCTCCCTACCCGCCTCGGCCCATTACCTTTATGCCCAAACCGGGGAAAGACCTGACTAACTGTGGTAGCTACTGCCCAATCAATATAGACCTAAAAATATTTACCAAAATAAGACCCTTACTTAACATACTTATAAACACAGACCAAGCTGGATTTGTCCCAAACAGGGAAGCCAAACATAACACCACCAAACTCTTAAATCTGATATATCGTGCACAACGCCTCCCAACTGACAGCCTACTACTCTCCATTGACGCGGAAAAGGCATTTGACAGAGTGGATTAGACTCTAGTAGTGGCAACTCTGAGGACAATGGGAATTGGACCCCACTGAATGCAATGGCTACAAGCCATCTACTGCGCAACTATGGATCAACGAGCAACTATCAGACCCAGTCCACATCCTAAACGGTACGAGACAGGGGTGCCCTCTTTCCTCCCTCCTTTTCATTCTCAGCCTTGAACCGTTTCTAAATGGCATCAGGGACAATCCTGCCATAAAGGTACAACAAACAGAATATAAAATCTCGGCGTTTGGTGACAACCTTCTGTTTACTATAGGATCCCCCAACACATCGCTTGGGCTGCAAAAGCCATCACATACTTGTCAGCAGACTTAAAAACCATGTTCAGCCTAAATTTTGAGTCGCTCTTCCAATCTACCTCTAAGCATTTAACTGCCTGGCACAAATCGCACTTTAACTGTTTTTATAGGATAAACATCCTTAAGGTGAACACGCTCCCTAAGGTACTCTACCTGCTCCAAACCCTGCCCATAAATATACCCAAATCCTACTTCACCAAACTCAGACAACTATTCACTACCTTCATCTGGGTTCATAAATGACCCAGAATCCCCTACAATGTCCTGACCAGACACAAGCTTATTGGAGGCCTAGGCCTACCTCACATGGAACGACACTACCAGGCCAACATCCTGTCCAGGATCTACGACTGGACCATCAATCCACCGACACGACAATGGACGGTACTAGAAAGCGCAGTGTTTACAGTCCCCCTCCACACGATCTCTTGGCAAAAAGCAAACACAACCGTATTACTTAATCAGCACACCTCACACCCTACTATCCTCCCTACCCTTAGAGTCTACTACTGACGGGATCTTGCACGCTCACAGACCTTGAGATACACTGTAAGATCCACAAAGTTACAACTAACAACTCTCAACTTTCTATAGACTCATTCAAACTAACCACATCAATCCTCTACCCTCCTTCACGGAAGCTTGGAAGACAGACCTCAACATACAACTCACCGCGCCCCAATGGAAAATGGTATTTTCCCAAATACACAAAACCTCAATCTGCACCAGGCTACAGGAAAGTGGCTGCAAGAGAATATCTCGGTGGCACTATTCACCAGCCAAATTACACACTCTCTTCCCTGCACACTCTGAGTGATTGCTGGAATTGCCACCAACAGGGGGTGTCACTGGCACATGCCTGGTGGGACTGCCCTCATGTACCGGCATACTGGAACAACATCCTCTGAATGATCAGATCCATGACAGGGCTACAGCTCCCCAAAACGCCTCACCCTCTACTGTTTCTAATCCCACACTGCCCCCTCCCTAGGCCGCCACGCACTCTAGTCGCACATATTCTCATAGCCGCCAATTCCCTCATTCCTGTAAAATGGAAAAACCCAACACCCCCACAATCAGAGAATGGATTGCAAGAGTTGATGCAATTAAAACCATGGCGGAGATCCATGCATTTATAACCCGCAAATATCCCCTTTTCAGAGAAGTGTGGGGACTGTGGGAGAGATTCACGACCAATTAAGACCCTACAACCCTACCATAAGCGATATCCTAGGGAACTAACTTATATTTGTTTTAGGTTCTTCGTGTACTATTCTTCATGTAATTTTCATGTCTTATTCATGTACTATTCGCTAAATACCAATAAAAAACAATTAAAAATAAATAATTAAAAAGAATAGTACCGGACCTGAGAATGGGAGGACTAACGTCACAAGAACAGAGAGTAATGATAAACGAGCTGAGATCAGGGATGCCAGAAATCAGGAACAACGAGAGTACTAGAGCTAAGGTCAAAGGAATACAGAAGGTAGAATCATCAAACACAGCCAAAAGTCAAACTCTGAGATAACCATACAAAGAAACAAACTATTGGGACTAAGAAGAACCACAACAGGGCAATGGTCTTTCCCTGAGCTTCCCTTATGTACTATGTTCCTTGATCTGTAGTCAGACCACCAAAAAGTTCTAATTCGAGCACTTTGGCAGGCTGTGACGTCATTTGCGTCATGACATTGACGCGCATGCGCCACGTCATTAAAAAGGGCGGAACTAACAAGGCTGACGCCACTGGGTACAAGAGGAAAATCGTTTGGCATGTCCCCCCATGCCTGATGATGCCAGCTTGTGGCACAGCCTGTGCCAACACACAAGGTACCCTGACAATGAGACAGGGATGTCCATTGTTGCCACTTTTATTTGTGTTAACAATGGATCCTCTGGCGGAAGTGATATGCCAATCTGTTAACATTGAGGGAATTTCTGTAGGGAACAGAGAACATAAAATTGATTTATTTGCAGATGACATCATACTTAATTTTAAAAAAATCCATTGACTTCATTATCTCCATAGATGTCTATTCTGCTAGAATTTGTCAATATCTCTTATTACAAATTAAATACGACAATAACTTAAGCTCTTCAGTTTTTTATACCATGGTTCGATTTGGATACCATGAAGAAAATATTTGATTTAGATTGGAGAGACTCCTATATTTCTTATCTGGGCATTAATCTGTGCAAGAATTTGGCCAAGATGTACAGATGTAATTTAGAAAAGGTCTGGTCCGAACTTAGGGAAGACATTGAGTTCTCGAAGTGTGGTCTCGAAATCTCTTGGTTAGGTAGGATTAATTTGGTCAAAATGACTCTCCAAAAATGATATTATACTAAGAACAATTCCCCCTTCTATACCTTGATGCTTTTTTAGAAACGTCCACTCTTTATCCTTTTTTAGAAAAGTCCTTGTTTCATTCATTTGGAACAAAACACCTGGTAGGATTAAATTAATTTTACAAAAACTCAGAGTGGGGGATGGTATGGGTTTGCCAGATTTTATTCATTACTAGTATACTACTAATGCAGCAATTTCATAAAAATTTTATTTACCGTATATATACTCGAGTATAAGCCGAGGTTTTCAGCACATTTTTTGTGCTGAAAAACCCCCACTCAGCTTATACTCGAGTCAAGGTCTGTATTGTGGCAATTTACATTGCCATAATAGAGACCAGGACCACCGGGCTCATTACAAGCCTGGCGGTCCTGTTGGAGGCTGACAGTGAGCTGTTACTTACCTTCCTGCAGCTACTGTCGGCTCCCTTCTCCTCCGTGCAGCTCCTCTGTCAGCTCCGTTCTGTTTACAGTGTAAGTCTCGCGAGACCCTGTAAGCAGAACGGAGCTGACAGAGGAGCTGCACGGAGGAGAAGGGAGCCGACAGTAGCTGCAGGAAGGTAAGTAACAGCTCACTGCCAGTCCCCCCACTGAACAGCCAATGCCGCTGGACCACGAGGGATTCAGTATTATTATTTTAATATTATATTATTTTAAAAATATTATTTTATTATTATATTATTATTATTTTAATATTTGCATTATTATTTTTTTTTAAATGTTTTTTTGTCCCCCCTCCCTGCTTGTTGCCTGGCCAGGGAGGGGGGGCAAAAAAAACATTTTAAAAAAAAATGCAAATATTAAAATAATAATATAATAATAAAATAATATTAATATAATAATAAAATATTATTAAAATAATATAATATTAAAATAAAAAAATTTAAATAAAAATTCCCTCCCCTCACCCAGTTTACACACACTGCACAAACACACACACTGCATTCACACAAACACACACTGCATTATATACACACTGCATTCATTATATACACACACAAACACAAACACTGCATTCATTCATTATATACACACACAACACAAACACACACTCTGCATTCATTATTAGTGATGTCGCGAACACGAAATTTTCGGTTCGCAAACGGCGAACGCGTACACACTGACACAGAGCAGAATAGAGACTGTTCTCCTACATAGGGTCACTTGGCAGATATGGATTGACACCTGTCCTCAGAGATCATGATACACACTGACACAGAGCAGAATAAAGACTGTTTCCCCTACATAGGATCACTTGGCAGATATGGATTGACACCTGTCCTCAGAGACCATGATATACACTGACACAGAGCAGAATAGAGACTGTTCCCCCTACATAGGGTCACTTGGCAGATATGGATTGACACCTGTCCTCAGAGACCACGATACACAGAGGAGAATAGAGACTGTTCCCCCTACATAGGGTCACTTGGCAGATATGGATTGACACCTGTCCTAAGAGCCCCTGATACACACTGACACAGAGAAGAATAGAGACTGTTCCTCCTACATAGGGTCATTGGCAGATATGGATTGACACCTGTCCTCAGAGCCCCTGATACACACTGACACAGAGCAGAATAGAGACTGTTCCTCCTACATAGGGTCACTTGGCAGATATGGATTGACACCTGTCCTCACAGACCATGATACACACTGACACAGAGCAGAATCGAGACTGTTCTCCTACATAGGGTCACTTGGCAGATATGGATTGACACCTGTCCTCAGAGATCATGATACACACTGACACAGAGCAGAATAGAGACTGTTCTCCTACATAGGGTCACTATGTAGGAGAGCAGAATAAATGACCCCTATATAGGGTCACTTGGCAGATATGGATTGACACCTGTCCTCAGAGACCATGATACACACTGACACAGAGCAGAATAGAGACTGTTCCTCCTACATAGGGTCACTTGGCAGATATGGATTGACACCTGTCTTCAGAGCCCCTGATACACACTGACACAGATCAGAATAGGGAATGTTACCCCAACATAGGGTCACTTGGCAGATATTGATTGACACCTGTCCTAAGGATCCCTGATACACACTGACACAGAGCAGAATAGGGACTGTTCCTCCTACATAGGGTCACTTGGCAGATATGGATTGACACCTGTCCTCAGAGACCATGATACACACTGACAGAGAGCAAAATAGAGACTGTTCCCCCTACATAGGGTCACTTGGCAGATATGGATTGACACCTGTCCTAAGGATCCCTGATACACACTGACACAGAATAGGGAATATTCACTAAATGCCAAACATTGTTATACAGGGGAATATTCAGTAAATAAGGATAAGGGGGGACCTACTGTCCTCCCCCCCAGCCCCCACCCCTGCACGGTGGGTGGGGGCCATAAATCTCAATGGGGGGGGACCTACTGTCCTCCCGCCCGCCCCCACCCGTCAGCGGTGGGTGGGGGCCATAAAAAATAATGAGGGGGGGACCTACTGTATGATGTTGTATCGATCAGGTAGTGTAAGGGTTACGCCCCCTTCACAGTGACAGACCAAACTCCCCATTTAACGCACCGCAAACAGTCCATTTGCACAACCGCAAACTCCCCATTTGCACAAGGTTGGATACCAAGCTAGCCATGTCCTGTTCCTTGTCCTCACTGATGTCATTGAAGGTCTCTTCCTCCACCCAGCCACGTACAACACCAAGGGCCCCCGAAAGGTGACAACAAGCCCCCTGGGACGCCTGCTGTGTTTGGTCTTCCACCTCCTCAAAGCCACCTTCCTCCTCTGACTCCTCTTCTTTAGACTCCTCTCTCTGCGTTGCCTCTCTCTGCGTTATTATAAGGTGTGTTAAGTAGTATTATTCTTATCAGTTTAATCCCTGTTACGTCCCCTATCAGGGGACGTGTATATGGCATCGATTTTAGGAACCGGGAGATAGAAAAAGATGCTTGGTCGGTCCTCCTACTGCAAATTTGGGGCACTGCGCGTGCAATCTAATGTGCCACCATTGTTGTGTTAAGTAGTACTATTCTTATCAGTTTAATCCCTGTTACGTCCCCTATCCGTTGATGTGGAGCAAGACGCAGCAGCAGAAGAGGACTCAGCCGAGGAGGTTATGGAAGAGGATGGAGTAGGAGGAGTAGAGGAGGTGGCAGTAGGCCTGCCTGCAAGTCATAGCGGTGTCACCAACTCCTCTGCAGAGCCATGCATTCCATGCTTGGCAGCCATCAGCAGGTTTACCCAATGCGCAGTGTAG